ACCGGTTCTATACGGACTGTCAGCAGTACCAGCACTGGAAGCACTACAAGCACCACAAGTCTTACCAATACGTCTAGTCGTCCAAATCAAGCCCTTATATTCACACGACTTGGCGTTTTGATGGGCTTTACGTGGAGTATAGCATTAATTATAGCCGTAATTCCCGTCAAATATGAGACACTACTAAAAGTGCTGTCATATGTGTTCGTTATATGCAATACATCTCAAGGAGTTATTCTGTTCGTCGCTTTTCTTTGTAATGCAAAAGTCGCCAATTTATGGAAACATTTATTTATTAATATCTATAAGTGATATCAGTTTACTTAACAAATATTTTTTTTCATTAATTTTGTGATAAAACTTTAATAACACTTTTAAAACTAATGTTATATAAACAAAGGCACAGATATATGTACACAAAAATACAGATGACTAGAGAGCTGAGTGAGAAGTTTGTAATGATTTCATGCAATAGACTATCACTTCATATGTGGCCATCATTATAGCGGTGTTTGGTATTTGACCTGTAATTACAAACATTAACACTATTAACACATTATTCCTCTTAATAAACATATCATTTTATAACTCACGGATCAATTGTGTGACCAAACCTCGATATAAGCCGTTCTTCACTCCCTCTTCACGCCATACGAGATATAATGTTTGCGTAAAATTGCGATACTTCTGGCCCTCTTCTCTGAGTCGAGTTCGCGCCACTTCTGTAATCATTAATACAATTAATAGACTTGACTCGACTTGATTGATTCAATCGATTCATACCATGAGGATATGCGAGTATGGATGCGAATGACTTAGATATGGCTCCAGCGGTCATATATTGTACAAAATATAAGCCTGTGGTTCGCTCGGACTGGTGGTGCCGTCGGACCTGCATTTCTGCCAATTTTGATTTAATGAATTCGTAAATCACGAAATGTATAATCGTTTCACTGATCCCAAAATATGAGGCAGTGATCCCTTTATAAAAGCCAATCAGTCCCGACTGTCTGTATATATCTTTAATACAATTCAATGCACTTTTCGCCCCGTATTTACTGTCAATTTGAAGTTTGAAAAAGTTTTTATACAACAATTCAAGCGCTGAGACAATGAGTAAAACCTTTGATCCAATTGGAGTCTAGTCTTGACAAACCAAATAGGATTAGTGGCCGTACACGAGACAAAGCCAGCGCTGGCGGCGGCCACCATATGGACAAGTGGTGTGTCGGCCGTTGCAAAGCTTTGATTACATGAGTTTTTAACTGTTGAATATGTACAAAAATAAATGGCTCTGAAATGAGCAAAATTGGGACAAAACATCAATATTTGCACTATTTTTTCATCACAATATCTACAGATATATTATTTTAATTATAACTGTTAGTTCACTATTAAATTAACGCAAGTTTTTTAATTTACATCCCGTATCAATATGTAAGACATTTCCATAAGTAAAACTCCTATCAGTTCAATGTGTTTGAGGCGATCGTAAACTCATTGTAAATAATTAAAAACTTCAAAATAGTTATAAACTAATTAAACATTAAATTCATTCAACTTTCTATCTCTTCTGCGATCTTTCAAATCATATAAACAAACAAAACATATTTTATCGCTAATTATTTGCATTCAATTAATTTAAGGTCAAATCTAAGTTTTGAAAACAACTAAAATATTATCAATTAATTACTTAATTAAATATTATCTAAAATATTTGAGTTAAATTAAAGTGAGAATAAAAGTGTGAATTAAAGTGTATTAATAATGTTAGGAATAAATGAAAGCAATTAATAATGAGATCAATAATCAAAGGTATGGAGACCTGGAGGGCGCGACTCCAATCAGGTTCGGACCCAAGCCTTTGAACAGCGCTTTCGGGCCTTCGGTGTCGACGATATGGCGAATACATCTCCAGAGAGGGATCGACTGTTTGGCGGAAGCGGTGGAAGCGGTGGCCGTCAGTGTCGGCGACAGGTATTGTGTGGCCGTCTGTGAGCCTCCAAAACAGGCCACCGATGACTGCAATCGTGTCTTCACTACTTCCAGAGGACACGTTATGATCGCACCGATAGTTCCGCCAACACTTCAAAGACAAATACAAATTATCAATACATGGATCACATGAGTGACGGCTTCATCACTGCCGCCATGGATGGCATGGATGGCATACCCGCCGGCAAACAAGTGGATCAATGTCTCAAATGAGAGCGACATATAAACGATACCCAAAAGTGTTGTTCACAACTCGTTTCAAACCAATTGTCAAAACAATTACATTATATTTAAACTCATTATTAGTGCTAATAATATGTGAGAAGTAATGAAAACATGCATTCAATTAATGAACAGTAGATCTGATGTAATGTTTCGTTCATTCAATCAGTCATTCATTCATTAGTCGAAAGTCTATTCGAAACACTGTTTACGTTATCTATTCATCCATTCCTTCAAACGTTCAAAACATGTGTTCATTCAGTCATTCATTCAATACATACATTACATTACTGTACACTTCACGGCCTCCCTATCCCTCCCCACTCCCATCGATGCCCACTATTTAACTCTATTTAACACTAATTAGAGGTTATAATTATAGTTAGTTATCAATTAAATACACATTTTCTGTATATGAAAGTCAAGCTTTTAAAATAAATACTAAATAATAGTATAAAAAGTGGCTAAAAGTATAAATGATTTGTATTTTAGTGAACACTCAATGTTTGAATTCAGTTCTAAAGGAATATGAAGTTTAGAAAATTATAAAACATTTAATTTCATTATATTATACAACAAATATTAGCCATTCAACAATTAACCAATCGATAAAAAGTTATATATTTTAATATTATTATTCAATCAAGTTGTTTGACAACTTTCATATTCAAAATATCATTATTGTCTTATATTTCACAACATTATTATCCATTTTTATAATAAAAATTTAATTTAATTGTTTATGAGAGTAATTAATTCATGAGTTCATGGATTTGATTTCAGTTGATTTGACTGACAATAAATTTGATCATAGATTAAGTATTAAATGTCAACAATTTATTCATTTAGTGGAATAAATCGTAAATAGAGACCATCTTTTGGATACAAGATCTCTGTGGGACAGATCAGCTCTAATGGATCGGGTGTTTGAGCGCACGTTTCGATTCGGAACTTTTGCACCATTTTTGAGAGCGTATATCTGGCCTCATGTCGAGCCAACTCTATACCCATACAGGTTCGCGGCCCCAAACCAAACGTCAGGAATGCTGCCCGGGCTCTATCATCCCCATCACTACAATTCAATCAATTTAAGTCTTTTAAATAATATTCAATTCTTATTAGAAATTGTAATTATATTAAAATTTGTCAACATTTTTGTCGCAAATGTCTTCACAAACCTATTTTCTGGTAAAAACCTTTGCGGATTGAATTTATGCGGCTCTGGCCATATGTTCGGGTCGTGATTGATGTGCCAAATGGGCAGTTGAACTATAGTTCCCTTTTGTATAAATATATCATTTAAGACCACATCTTCCGCGGCTTCCCTTTGGGCGAAGGTAGCGACGGGTGGGAACAGACGTAATGATTCGCTCCATACCTGTTTTTAAATTAGTTTTATTATTAATTAATTGTAATATAAACCAAAATATTATTTATAGTTTTTGCACACAAACCATATCGACATAACGTGATTGATATCCATGTAAACCAATTTCCTCGCGAAGTGTGTTCTGATATTAGTTTTATTATTAATTAATTGTAATATAAACCAAAATATTATTTATAGTTTTTGCACACAAACCATATCGACATAACGTGATTGATATCCATGTAAACCAATTTCCTCGCGAAGTGTGTTCTGAATGTCTTGATGTTTGGCTAAACAATAGAAAGCATACGTCAGTCCCATAGACGTGGTGTCATAAGCGGCCAATAGAAGAATGAGTGCATTTCCCGTCAATTCATCCTTTTCTAATTTTTTCTCTAAAAAACACTTTAACATTGATTTCAACACATTATTTGATTTCGTGTCAATTGAATAATTAGGGTTTGCGGACAAGTTTTGAGTCTCGGTTTGAATTTGTTTATTAAGATGACGAAGAATCCAATCAGCCATTCGTCCAGCCGTTAGATAATTGTTAATAAAGGAGAGAATCGGTCGTAAAAATGGGAAAAATGTGGCAAAGATGACCACCGAATTGTGAGCCGAAGCCATGAACTCTTTGGCCGCACTCTTCAGTTGGCTGTTATCTTCGTGAACATCCTTGTCATACATATTAAGTCCACACTTGCATATGATATCCAAAGTTATTGATTGCATCCTATCATCGACTTTAACTATTTGTTCCTTTTGTGTCATTATTTTTAAAATACAAGTGTCCACAGAATTCACTACAATATCTGTAATCTCTTGAGAACTGATCTTATGGTGAGTGAAAAACGGAGTCATAAGTCGACGGACGTGACGCCAACGCTCTCCTCTCAGAGCGAGAACTGAAGACACAAATGGTTTGGCGTTGAGAAAGAATTTTGGCCGGTCTTTGAATTGTTTGCTATTTTTGAGAAATATGTTTTGAATGACATCCAAATCACTGATCATGAGTATAGGTCTGTCGCCTAAGAAGTATCCGAAATGATTCCCGTATTCCGCTATCCATTCGTCAAATGTTTCGTTTGGATTCTCTTTGAGTTCATAAAAATTACCAGAAATTAATGACGGTTTCGGACCTCTTATGCCATTCTTTGCAAATATTTTGTGAATTTCAATACGTCTTCTGTACCACAAAACACATCTAATTGTTATATAAATCAACGAAAATATTATAATTTCTGAAATCATAATAAGTTGTTCACAAAAACTTTATTCAAAGTTCTGTATTGTTTGATAATAAAGTCACAAAACTATTACAAACGGAAAACTGTGCGAAGAAAGCATTGAAAAATCAAACTAAAGGACAAACTATTGGACTCCTGTAGAGATAATGAATGATACAAATGTTATACAGTGCAACTTCTCTTGGGTGAACTTCTCTTGGATGAACACCTTCTCATAATGAACGGTTTTAAAATTAATATTGGATTTCCTATACTTCTAATGTTAAAATAACCTCTCTTAGGTGAACTTCTCCATAATGAATACCTCCCCATTATGAACGGATTTATAGAGATTAAGATAAAACTTTCACTCCCTATAATGAACAAATATAATCGTAAGCAAATGATTCCCAAAAGTATTCAAAATAGCTTCTAATCTAAAACTTTAAGCAAACAAAACACACATTTTATATAAAGTTTCATTCAATATTGTATGAAATGTGTATTCATACTCTGATTAGTGAACTATAAATTATTACTTTATATCTAGAGACTCATCCAATGCTCAAACATTTAAACATTTGGACAAAATTAACATTAAAGCATTGAATTGTCACTTTATTACTATTAAATAAACAAAAATTACCTATTATTTAAAATTAATCAAAAATTAGACATTTTTACTCGAACCTCCCTTGGATGAACCCTCCCTATAATGAACACTTTTGCCGTGCAACTGGCCGTTCACTATAGAGAAGTTGCACTGTATTAAGGCAGGTTCTTATTTTGACGATCATTACCAGGCATAACCACGTTCATGCCATCTAATTCTTGTTCATGTAAGCAAATAGTAGTGTTTGTTTAAATGAGATCAATTTTTCAAACAATTCATTTAAAACTTTCTATAAAATAAATGAATTGATTTCAGATTAAGAACAATGCAATCCATTCCAGAAATAAAGAATAAGTTATTTCCGTGACATCTAAAAAGTCTTATTTTCAATTCTCAATTTAAAAACCAATGTTTTATTGAAGTTATAATTAAATTTATTAAACAAATAATGTATTTGTCATCAAATGTACTAAACGTTGAAAATTGATTCTTTATGTTAATTTTTAATGTGAAATTAGTTTTTCCATTCTGTGAGAGGATCAGTGGCAACATATTTAAGCCCAACTGCATATCCATAGAGTGTATCATTAATATCACAGTCAATATACAATATCAGCCATTCTTGTAAAAATTGTCTCAAATTCAATATTTGAGTTCTTTTACAGCAAAACTACATCCAAAACCTGTTTTGAAGTAATATATGAGACAGACTTCTCTTTAAACGTATCACATGTTATGAAATCGATTTCAAGAGTTTTACTCACAGACAACAACAGGCATTGAATTTGATATTTTTTGTGTAAATAACTTAATGCCTAACAAAATTCAGTAAAACTATTTAATTCAAACGCGAGGTAAATAAATACAAGTTAACGCAATTTACTTATTCAATCATACAATTAGTTTGTAATTAATAATAACAATTTACTTTTAACCAAAATATTACTTTTAGTTGTACAAATAATTGAACTACTAATTGAAACATTAATATTTAGATAGTTAAAAAAGTATTTTAAAATTACACACATCATTGAAAACAGAGCTTCACAATAAAAATTTTTAAATGTGTTTTAACTTAAATAAATTAAAATCACTTACAATTAAATACTTTGTATGTATGAAATACTATAAGTTAAGTTGTGTATAAGTTTTGTATAAGTTTGACCTTCACCTTATATTTCTCTAAAGTTATAATTACTGTATTTGTATTTTTATATTTCTTATAAACTTATCAATATCGTAAATATATTGCAATATTAATAATTACTAGATACTATACATGTTTTGGTTCAACAAATGCGTTTAACAATGCTTACGTATAGTTACAATATTTCATAAAATACAATGATGTATATAGTATTTTAGCATGTTGAATGAATGAATAACAGAATTTATTAATATTTATGTATTTATAGCAGAAAATGATACTTTTACATGTTTTTCACTTCAAATATTAATACATATGTATGTATTTAGGATATGATTTTATTACTACTGAAAAATCAGTGAATCGATAATCACGATATTTTCGGTATGTATGGGTAGAGTGTGGCCACGAGATGAGTGTTCCTGTGACAGATCGTGCCAATGGCCACAAATACCCGAGTTATGGTCACATTCTATTTATTTATACAGGGTTTAAAGGACTATATTTCTGGTGAATGGAATAACTCATGTGAAACACAATTTCTTAATGCATAGAAGTCTGCAATTTATTAGAAATTTGGCTATAAATTAATTAATAGTTCAAAAACTCGGGAATATTGGTAATTATGAAATGATGTCCAGCAGAAAGTAGCGCTCGTTTGCATTCAAAACAATCTATAGATAGCCACCACTTGTTATAAGTGGGCCATACAATACATATGCCTACAAAAACCATATGAATTAATAATCCAATTGTAAAACCAATAGTGGATTAAATAGTGAATGAAATAATGATGTAATGAATGATAAAAAATTTCAAAACTTGTGAAACAATTGCGGCGATGAGTGACGACATGTAGTGTTGGGTGGAGTGAAAGGAATGGACCAATAGTTTTGCGACACATTATGTGTGCACTGAATGGCAACCAATGAAATATAGATTTTCAAAACTTGTGAAACAATTGCGGCGATGAGTGACGACATGTAGTGTTGGGTGGAGTGAAAGGAATGGACCAATAGTTTTGCGACACATTATGTGTGCACTGAATGGCAACCAATGAAATATAGACACGAATACCGACTATTCGTATAAATGAGTGAATGTATTGAATGCATGAGAAAAAGGTATTGAAACTCATTTCAGTCAACCACTCATTTGTTACGTGTCTTAACACTCAATACTCTCCACGAAAACTAATTTAGTTTTCATTTTTATATACTTTTAATTCAGTTTATAAATTGTTATTATAATTATCGTTAAGTCTATTACCAAAAGGTATGCATTGATTGGATTGGCATTTGTTGTCGACACTAATCGGTCGCCGATTTGTGACTCAATTTTTTATGAATAACTTTTTTGATTCATAAAAAACTGATTTAATGAATGACTTAATTGTTTGAATGATTCGCCGGTTGTTAACGATTATTGTCTCCAATTATGTGTAGATATGACGCGAAGTGGAAACAAATGGATCCACTGTTTGGTGGTATTGATAGCACTGTCTGTTTGTTTGGCCAAAAACAAAGACGAGACGACCGAAAAGGACGGCAAAGACAGCGTCGGGACAGTGATTGGCATCGATTTGGGCACAACTTATTCGTGTGTCGGTGTCTTCAAGAACGGCAGAGTGGAGATCATAGCGAACGACCAGGGTAATCGCATCACTCCCTCCTATGTCGCCTTCACCGCAGAGGGCGAACGGCTCATCGGCGACGCCGCTAAGAATCAGTTGACATCTAATCCCGAAAACACCATATTTGACGTGAAACGCCTTATCGGTCGCGAATGGACTGATCCCACAGTTCAGGCGGACGTCAAGTACTTCCCCTTTAAAGGTATGGCTCAATGACCGGTCTTATTGAGTGACACGTGTATTAACTAACAAACATTGCTTTTGTATTGTTTTCTCGGAAAATAGTGATCGAAAAGAGCGGAAAACCACACGTGAAGGTCGAGACGGGAAGCGGACCGAAAGTGTTCGCTCCGGAAGAAGTGAGTGCAATGGTTTTGGTCAAAATGAAAGAGACAGCTGAGGCCTATTTGGGCAAAAAGGTGTCTCACGCTGTGGTGACGGTTCCCGCGTATTTCAACGACGCTCAGCGACAGGCGACCAAAGACGCCGGTGTTATCGCCGGTCTGAATGTGATGCGAATCATTAACGAACCGACGGCTGCGGCCATCGCTTATGGTCTCGACAAGAGAGAGGGCGAGAAGAATATTCTGGTGTTTGATTTGGGCGGCGGAACCTTCGATGTCTCGCTTCTGACCATCGATAACGGCGTGTTTGAAGTGGTGTCCACTAATGGCGACACCCATTTGGGTGGAGAGGACTTCGACCAGCGAGTAATGGAGCACTTCATCAAACTGTATAAGAAGAAGACCGGGAAAGACATCCGAAGCGACAACAGAGCCGTTCAGAAGTTGAGACGAGAGGTGGAGAAAGCGAAGCGAACGTTGAGTGGCGCACATCAGGCGAGGATTGAAATCGAGTCCCTCTTCGACGGCGAAGACTTCAGCGAAGTTCTGACGAGAGCTAAGTTTGAAGAGTTGAATATGGATTTGTTCCGATCGACACTCAAACCCGTCCAGAAAGTACTCGAAGACGCGGACCTCCAGAAGAAAGATATCGATGAAATCGTATTAGTCGGCGGTTCCACTCGTATTCCCAAAGTCCAACAGTTGGGTATGTCTTACACTGAATGCGCTTTTTATGAATTTAGTTTTAATCAATCATTTCATTTGCAGTGAAAGAGTTTTTCAATGGCAAAGAGCCGACTCGAGGTATTAATCCGGACGAAGCCGTGGCTTTTGGCGCTGCCGTTCAGGCGGGAGTGCTGTCTGGCGAAGAGGACACCGGAGAGCTTGTGCTGCTCGATGTGAATCCACTGACAATGGGTATTGAGACCGTTGGCGGTGTTATGACTAAATTGATTCCAAGAAATACTGTCATTCCAACCAAAAAATCTCAAATCTTTAGGTAAGACTACACTATAATATGGTATTCAATGTGTTTTAACTAATGATGAATTGTTTTGCGTAATGCAGTACTGCATCAGACAATCAGCACACCGTCACTATCCAAGTATATGAAGGCGAGAGACCGCTAACCAAAGACAACCATATGTTGGGAAAATTCGATTTGACTGGTATTCCTCCGGCGCCCAGAGGTGTGCCTCAGATTGAGGTGACGTTTGAGATCGACGTCAACGGTATTCTGAAAGTGTCGGCTGAAGACAAGGGAACCGGCAATAAGGAGAAGATCACAATCACCAACGATCACAACCGACTGACTCCCGACGACATCGAGCGTATGATCAAAGACGCCGAGAAGTTTGCCGACGACGACAAGAAAGTGAAGGAGAAGGTGGAGGCGAAGAACGAGTTGGAGTCTTACGCTTACTCTCTAAAGAACCAAATCGGAGATAAGGAGAAACTCGGAGGAAAGATCACCGACGAGGAGAAGACAACCATCGAGACCGCCGTCGATGAGGCCATCAAATGGATGGAGTCTAACGCCGACTCAGAAGTGTCTGAATTTAAAGCTAAGAAGAAGGAGTTGGAAGACCAGGTGCAACCCATTATTGCGAAACTATATGCCGGCGCCGGTCCCGCACCGGGCGGTGAAGCCGGTCCTGACGCTGAAAAGGATGAACTCTAACCCATTTTGTAAATTAATCGTTAGGTTTAGCTCTCATTTTCACATTTCGTTCACTTTTTGTCATCAAATTTCTATTTATTTGAAATAAATTTAGTTATTATTGGAATTAATATAAAATACTTCTTTAAATTAATTTTTAATGTTTAATAAAAAATATTGAGATTTTTTTTATTTATTTTCAATTAATTTCATATCTCGATAATTAACACGAATTTCTAAGAAATCCAATAAATAGTTTACGATTTTATAAAATTGATTCGCGATTTGCCTAAAAATGAAAGAATAACATTGAGGGCGCAATCCATTGTCTTCTTGACATCACTCTCAGTGCCAATCATTGGATTCAATTCAACGAAATCAAGACCACATAACTTATTGGTTTTGAATATCTCTTCTCCAATACAAAACGCTTCCCTTAAAGTGAGTCCTCCGGGAACAGGAGTGCCAGTACTCGGGGCTATCGATTGGTCGATGGCGTCCACATCGAAGCTAATGTGTATCCTTTTGTCTAATTTAGGGTTAATTCTGTCCAAAGTTCGGGCAATCACTTCATTGATGCCGATTCTGTCGATGTCTTGTGTCGAATAATAACATATATTTAGTTTCTCAATCATATGTATTTCACTTGACTCCACATCTCTCAGACCAATGAATCCAATGCTATTAGCGTTAAGACATGGCTTTATTTTAAGATAGTTTCCGTTGGGGTTATTAAAGGTGTGCTCTATTTGGCGAATGAGGAATGAAAGAGGCATTCCGTGGAAGTGACCCGTTCTCGTCGTCTTCACTGTATTGATGTCCGCGTGTGCGTCAATCCATAGGACACACATGTCATCGCCATTAACTATATTGTCGGCATTAGCGCTGATAGAGCCCATAGCTATACTGTGATCGCCTCCCAAAGTAATGGGAATTCTGTTGTCATTCACTACTTTGTGAACTAAACTTTGAAGTTGTAAATACATCGCTTGGATTTCGTATTCATTTTTGAGTTTATTATTCACTGAATTTTGGTTCAAAGCATTAGTTATTTTCATTTCACTTATATCTCCAAAATCGATAACATTGTGTTCCAAATCTTG